CCATGCCCTCTGAATTTCTAAAATGCATCTAGTACATAGATGGCACCACCATAAACAAATAATGTATCACTTCTCTAAGTGATGCTGGTGTGTACTCTGCTTAGCAGCTTCTTGGGTGCCCTGAACAGGTAGCACAAGAAAAAAGAGCCAAAGCCATTTCTCACGTGTAAAAAATGTGAAAAAATAGACAAGAAAAGAAAATAGAAAAAGAAAAAAAAAAGGTGGAGGGGCATGAGGAAATAGCCAACTTTGTAGTTTTAAATGTTCAGCTAAAGAGTCACTTCAAGAGACCCAGAGCTAAGGTTTAACAAGCTCAAAAATCAGGCCCCAAAATAAAGTAAAAATCGTACTCTCTTCATTGCAGGAAATGTAAGGACAGAAATAGGCCAAGGTTGTAAACAGTAACTCAACACAAGAAGGGAAATAGTAAGGTAATGAAGGAAGAGTGCTACAGAATGGAATTAAAACCAAGTGAAACAAAGTTCTGACATTACACACTGATTATGAAGGACCATTAAGTCCTGGCAAAATTAGTCTCAAACACAGTGTGTCACTGTTACAAAAGCCAAACTGTTACAATGCTACCTCATAGCCTGATTTTGAAGTAATTTGTGTTGTCCATACTGGAAGGTAGTGGTATCTAGAGTGACTACGAGGAAGAGTTTCTCCCAGAATACATTGGTATTTGTATTATATTTACATGTGTTCTAATAATTAATTTACAATACTGGTGGCTAATCTGGGAAATTACTTTTAAAGGCAATTATTTTATCCAAATTCTGTTGATTGGCATACTGCTGGTTACGTAACACATTGTATTTTCCAAAACAATAAATTAACATAGTCTGGTCAAGACCAAAACCAAAAGACAACGCCTACAGTTGCCTGGTAAAAGTGCTTTATAGAAGCAGTAATTTAACCAGAGAGGCAGTATATATTGGTTTCTAATATAGCATATTTTCTGACAAAAATTCTGTCAAAATTCTGACACTTGGTCTCATGTTTAAGATATACAGAAAAAGCAATCAGACTTACAAGTCAGAAGAATCTTATCTCCTATGGAGAACAGAAACACGGATAGAAAATGCCAATATAGAACATGCACTATCAGCACTACTGGCATTCTGATTCCCCATCTCAAAATGTTGATATGGGGTACAGAGGCAGCCAACTAAGCTTCATCAAGAGCTATTAAAAGAAACAAACAGGAGGATAACCCTGCAGGGTTTAAGGCTTTTGCTGAAAATTTCTGTCAGGAAGCATCCCCATGTGTTTGCTGCCTTTCCCTGTTCTTCCCCAGAGATCCACTCTGGCCATGGTGGGAAACGGGCTACTGCACTGACTGCAACTTTGGTCTAACATAGCATACTATTCTCATGCTCATTGGCGATCTCTGAAAAATCAGACTTGTGTTTCAAAGTTAAGTTGTGATATCCAGTTTCAAAAACCTGAGCTTTGAATCCTCTGTGGAAAAAAAATCATGCGCTGAAAGAAATCCAGTAGAACTTGAGAGAAGCTATCTGTACCCATCAGTCACACACATATTTATGATATACAGATTTTACAACAAATGAAAAGGCCATATGCTCTTAGATTAATATAAATGGTGGATCTCTTCTTCTACAATACTGGATTTTTCCTTCAGTCTAAATCAGATACTTTGGGTTTGATAAGCAAAACTATGGCCTGTGAACACAAAGAAGACTTTAGACATTTAGATTATTGGACTAAGTTGATTCACTGCTTGCTAGTCATTATTCACTATTTCTCATCTGGTACTATATTTAAAGAAACTGTTTGGAAATAGTCAGCTGCTTCTTGTTCAGCTTTTATTACAGAAATCAAATTAAATAAGACAAAAAATATTTATTAAAATCAAACAAAATAAAACAAAAGGAAATTATATGGTTAATGTTGAAATAGTAAAAAAAAATATTAAGAAAATCATTTGGTCATTTCAGAAGCAAGCCCAACCACTGGCTTCTTACTAGCACCACAGAGTGCAATCAAAACCTCTTGTCAAAACCCAGAAATAACTAGCTTGAGCTCAGAATTTCTGTCTGCTGTGGTTGGTTTGGGTCTTTTTTAAGTTTTAATCTCTTGTGTTTACGTGTACATTATTTCAAATTAATTTGTATTTTTTAAGCAACGTAATGGTACACAGAAAACCCTTGAGGGGCTAACTTCCAACTGCCACTCACAAAGGCAGTAAAGAAAGCAAGTCAGGAATACACCCAAGATATTTGCCTCAGGGAACACTTACTCAACCAAATCTTTGAAGATATTACATAAAAGCAACAAACTACATTTGTATGGAAATCCAGATCTTTCTGGATACTACTATGAAAAAACTGTAAAGCTAAAGGAGTTTGAAGTATTAGTATAGGTAGAACTCAAAATAGTTGTGGGGAGTTTTTTAAGCTATTTCTTCATATTTCTATTTAAATATACTACGTAGCCATTAATAAAATAATTAGTGATTAAATGAAAATCAGAAACAAGTTCAAGTAACAGATACGCTTACTAGACAACTAGAAATTTAGGATTAATTCAAAAGAGGAGAAAAAAACAAGAAATGAATAAATTTTTATACGTACTTACATAGTTAAAACGCTGCTAAGGATTCATTACAGAATGAAAAGCATCAGTGGAAAATAAAGAATGAAAAACCTCTCTTTCACACTGCATTCATTTGCCCAGTATCATAAAACACCTTTAGGTAGAAGTAGCATACTGCTTTTTCTGAGCAGTGAATGCTGGTTTGAAGACTCCATTCCTGTATCACACAGTCTCTGTAGTTAGTTTATAACTATGCAGCAAAAGCTTCAGAAACTGTGTGGTAAAAATGAACGCATAGCCATATTGTTAGTGAGTTGCAATTTTAAGTTACTTAAATATCTGTATGTGTGTGAAGTAAGAATATTTCTGCATTGGTTCAGTTATATCAGTAAGGAATTATAGTAACAAATAATGGTGGCGCAAGAACACTTACTGATATTGTAAGATTTATTCACAAACTAAAATTAAATAAAAGCATCTTCATATAGACAACCCTAACTTAAGGGTTGTGGCAAACCGCACAACACATTCTGATTAAGTGTATGCTCTTTGTTAGTTTCCCACAAGTACATGAGCAATCTGAATTTTCTTGACATATATTTTTCACAGTTGCAGGTACTTTTAGATTCCACTTTTTGCATTCAGTACACCTGAATATTCATATGACAAATACTCATACCTAATCAGGAAGTACTATGCAGTGTAACCTGAAAAAGTCATCGTGTACTGCAAATTCCCATTATTAATGCTGACGAGAAAACCCACAGCAAATTCATTCCAGTAAATGGATGCAATTATTTTAAAACAAATAACTTCAAATTAAAAGAGGAAATTACAATGATCATAGCTATTTTGTGAGCAGATAAGACTAATCTTCTTGGATAAAAGCATCATTTATATGAGTCATCTGCTGACACTCTTTTCTGATATACATTCATAATAATTCGCATTTGTTGCTTTATCACAGACATAACCGGAAGACAAGGATTGTTTAAGTTGTTTCCCTACCATCACTAACTGTATGTTTCATAGAGTAGGCTTTCCAAATTTATTATGAAAAACACAGTGAGATCACAGAATAACCTGTAGAAAAATCCTTCATACCAGTTCGTTAAAAAACCTGAAACATTATTTTAAAATAAGCTTCAGGATGTGTGTGTGTTAGTTGCTCTTATTTATGCACTCTCAGTAAGGGCAACAGCCTTTAACTTTTATTTACTGCACTGGTCAACAACTGCATTTTCACATCATCAGGTTTCCTCAGCAATACCACAACACTGCAATGTTCAGGTTACACATTTGATATAATATTTTTCTGAAAATGTGTCAGCTGCAATTCATAAACATCCCTACTTGCCAAGCTCAATATCTTTTGCAACTTACAAAATTCTAACACATCAGAAAAACTTATTCACTGAAGGAACCATCTACAGACATCAATCAATTGTATAGGGCCAAAAGGCTAAACTTTTCACTCTGATGTAGGTGTACTCACTAGATGAGTATCATCTAAACACCAAACTGTAATTCTTCCAATGACTGCTTTATATCTAAAAATATCACTACTGAATGCTGCAATTACATTTCTCAGCTGGAGACATCTTTGTACATTATTTTCTTGAACGCATAAGATACCAGCTCAACAGTGTACTAATCAGCTGCACTAAACTCTAAATGTGATCTAATTAACTAGAAACTACTCAGATTTGATTGGTGAGTTTTTTTTGTTTGCTTTTAAATCCGAGCATATCTTAAATCACCTTGTCAGCCCTCCAAAGAAAATAGTCATGAAAAAAGCCAAGATGTTCAAAGGAAAAAAACCCAACCTATCTTTACAAAATATCTTTAGGTCCTGACAACATCTACTTACTCCCTAAATAGCATGCTTGTCCAGTAATTTCTTATGGATTCTGACTTCAAATTTCGAGTTTTAAAACTGTTCAAAGATAAGGATCACCTACAGTGTACATTCTGGTCACAGTGCAAGCTCTAACCATTTGAACCGTGCCTTACAGACAAGTCTGTAGTGACCTGGAGAAGCAGCTCCTTGCCCACAGTTTAGTCTGGTGAAGGAAACAAGTCAGAGACTCCCCTAAAGCTTGGTTCTCTGCACTGGAAAGTACATCACAGATAATATGCAGTCCTATTCTAACTGGGTGTGTTCTTTGTCTTGCAGAGCAGGTTAGGAAAGATGTATGCATCAGAAACTATTTTTCCCCTTAGACTAGCAACAGTTCTCTGTTAGGCCAAACCTCCTCTTCTGCCTCCTCTAAAATTCTTAACATTTAACAGAGTTTGTGGGAAAGGATGAATGAGCACAGCAATTGACCTCATGAGTAATCTTGTCACTAGCTCTGATTCTTTTCTGTCTTGTATCAAAAGTATTCATAACAATATATAAGCTTCTAAATTGTACGCATGCCATATCGTTTTTTACTCACCTACGCAGTTATCACAAAGGCTGCAATGTGAGGCACGAGGTGGGCGAAAAATCTTGCAAGTAAAACAGTATTTTAGTTTCACTGTCTGGCCATTGATGATCACTTCTTTTGTTCTGGGAGGGGGGCGGTATCCTCCTGAACTGGAGCCATTTGCAATATCTAAACATGGAAATACAACACATTAATTTTTTCACATGAGCTATGCTGTATGCACAGAACTGTAGCTGATGGCAATCTATAGCAAGTTTCAAATTTATATAAACAACTTTTTTCTCTTCTCATTCTCCTTAAATAATATGTAGCAAAAAGGCAGTTAATTACGAATAGCATCCACAGCCAATCAACTTGAACTAAAGAAACCACCCAGACCCAATTCTTAAATGCTGACGGCTACCTTGATCCAAAACTCTTATATTCTCATACCCTCTAACAGTTCATACAGAATACATAAAAGACAACTATGACTATAGGTACAGTAAAACTTGGACAAGTTATCTTTAGGATTTTCCTGATTTTTTAGAGTTCCTGTAACAACAAAATGTCTCTCTACAAGTGCTGCAGAAATTCTACAACCTAATACAGAATCTGCACATTCACTTAAGCAACAGCAGCTCTGTCATTAGAGCTTGGCACATGGCAGAAATGAGATCAATCATCACTTTGAGATCCCTTAAATGCTACCATACAATGCAGCACATTCAGAACAGTATCTCACAGCTCTTACTCTTTCAAAGTTTGAAAATCTAACTCCCAGTGCTACGTTTACACATCTTTAAGTTAGTTTGTTGCACCTCATTTGTTATAAGTGGTGGCATTTTGGGTTTTGTTTGTTTGCTTGCTTTTGGACAAGCATTCATTTTTCTAGCAACTAAAGGACTGATTAGGCCAAATCATTGAAGTTCAATTTTGTCCTTTAAATACACCCAAGCTGAGCTATACTCTGAATGCTGAACATGGAAAAGTGGTATTTTTTTTGCAGTTCTTGTTAAATCACAATCAAATCAAACCACAGAAGTGAAAAAAAACCCCTAAATTATAACTCTTGGACAGGCAGAACAGGAAGAACAATAGGAAAGCAAAATAAATTATTTTCCAATGTATGAATGAAACTACATTTTGAAGTTACAGTCACCTGCACAACCGTGTTTTAAGTTGTCCCCCTGACTTTCATGTAGGACAAGCATGAGGCTGGATGATAGGTTACTAAAAGATCCATGACTTTTATCTGAGCTCAGACTGTTAGAAATGTCACCCACAGCTACAATTTCTGCCAGGTCTGCAGACATATTTACATAGCCTACAAACTACACATTTACCAAGGGGGCACCGAAAAAGCCTCCTATCTAGCAAGGTATTCAAATTAGCCACAGCATAGCTGTGCTAGCAAAGGTGGCAGCAAATCTAGCTTAAGAAGTTCCCATCTGCAACATGCTCACCCACTCCATAAATATGTGTCAGTAAAGGTATTTGTGGGATACCACTGTAAACTTGACCACCAAAAGAAAGAGACTTCAGAAAACCAGCATGGAGAAGGTGGAAGGGAGGGAGCAATAGCTGGGAATGATGGAATCAGGGAGTGAAGTTTCTAAGCATCCCGTGGGAGAACGAAGTGGTGAATACTGAAGAAACAGCAGCTTATAAAGCTTTCTATTAAATAAGTACTGCATTACAAGCTAATAGTATATTTACATGCTGCAGCACAACTAGGCAATAAATGTTGTTTAATGTGCAATATGGACATAAGATACTGTTATCTTAAGTTTCCTATATTTTTTCCATTTTTTAAATTATGTTGTTTAAAAGAAACTCATTAAATGACTGTGATTTTTAAGCACTCTAGCAAATACAAGAATTTGATGAGGTCAATAGAAATAATTTCATTTTCACTGTAGCAAAAACCTTTTTTATTTGCTTGCTTAATAGTTTATTTGTACTCATGACACATCAGGTTAGTTTTTGATTTTAGCATTTTAATTGAGAACTAAGCTGAAAAGATGGTCTTTTGAGAGCATAGCAGAATTGTGCTTACACTATTTAAATCTTTACACAGACATGGATGACTCCTAAATCCAGAAAACAGGGAGGAATTTCTTACAATTGAGAGACTACTTTAAAACAGCTTCCATATTTATAATGAAAACTACTTTTCTGTAGAACAAGTTATCACAATCTGCATGAAACACTGAAATAACTTGTAGTACTAGTACAGATCTACATAAGACAATACTTTTTATGGAAGAAAAACACTATAGTAAGTTTTTTGTTATTAAAAATCCTCTATAACTTATTTTAGTTACTGTTGCTGAGAAAGATAAATACATTTTAATACACTGCATTTTTGGTGGCATCACCACCAGCAGTCTTGTAATATTCTTAGTCCTTCTGCAAATCCATGGGCCTTACAAAACACTGCGTTATGTCCATTTCTGACCACAGTCTGGTCAAGAGAGATTTAAACTGTGAACAAAAATGCAGGTCATTAGCCCTAATTAGTTTTTTTTATCCAACAAAGCATTTAATACGTGCATACATAACATCTTCATTAACAAACTAATGATTTCCATTTGATACTCATACTCAAATTTAGGTGCATAATTGTCACAAATACTAATGAAGCTTGAGGTTTATATAGGTGTAGCTTTCTATACGGCTAGAAATGCTGATGCATTGTACTTCCTAAGGTAACACTAATATTTAAAATTCTCTTCTTTTACAAAATTTTATTATCACTGAGTATGTACATAATCATTGAAAGAAAATTACTTAAATCAAAGTGAACTGTTTAGAAGAAAAACATTTTTTTTTCTAATTTAACATTTATGCATTAAAAAAATGCACATTTCCTAAAACCAGTTTTTCCTCACCTTTCAAGAAGTTCAAGTGCACTGTGTCTATTTTATATTAAAATGGGCCCTGGCAGAATCTCAAAGGCAACTTCCCTCTACTCTGCAGAAGGAGAGACTGCTGGCCAGCCCATTATACTTACAATGCTGGTTTACTAAGAAGATTTCCTTCCAACCCTCTGCAGGGAAGTTCAAGTTCACAGGGACAGCAAATCCTAGCTCTCTGAGGAAAATTAATCTCAAAATCCAAGGGTGAGAGCTGATGCAAATGAAATTAATGAAAACAGTCTTGCTGACTTTCTACAGAGTCAGGATTTTACCCACAATTGTAAATTGCATAATCAAAAGTCCCTGACTTTCTGTTTATAAACATCCCCCCTCCCCCCGCAACAGGGCAAGGTCAAATATGCTCGGATTTAATCAGATTTATCTAACCTAAATGTGCTAAACATGTCCTGGTCTCACAGTGATTTTTTCAGACTTCAACTGGACTGCTCAAACCTGGGTTCTAACACAGTTAAATCTTTAAATATCTTTATATATGCAGTCCCTTTAAGACATAATAATATTAACATTTACAGAATCGTCTTCCCCAAATAAACCTCCGTTTGACCACTAGTTTTCACATTTTCCTCTTCCAATCCACTCCTGGTGCAGTAATGCAAGTTATTTTACAAAAAGGGTAAATTTTTCCCACTAATGGGACTGCCTTCCATCACCTCTGCTCTGACACATTGTATAACTCCTCTAGCAGTGTTAAATGTTCATGCACTAGATGGGGCTCCAGCATTTTTATTACCCTATTACAAAAGCCCCAAACACACAATCCATATCCTTGAGGGCCCAGGTACATGAACTGCTGCAAGAAAGTCACTCCAAGTATTTAAAGGAGATACAGTGCAGTCCAGCAGCCTTCTAATGTGACAACAAACTTCAATTAGATCTCTCAAGTTATTATGCTGAAAACAAACGGGAGGTGCTGTTTAGATGAGACACAGAAGCTGGGATTTCTTATACATATCACCAGGATTCTCCTGCTCAATTATGCGTTAGCTTTTTTGGTCATTTTTCCTAAGATCCTAGAACAAGCAGTCTCTAGAAGGTCTCTCCGTGTTCTCTCTGAACAAACTTAAAAACCATACTACTCAAGGTTCGTCATTAACTTTAAAAGCATGCTATTTCAATCTTCAAACAACATCAAACACCTGCAAAAATGCAAGTCTCCTCTAAGAAATGCCTTCCTCTGTGTTTAACCACGTAAATCTAAGCTACATTCTTAACAACAGTGGGCTACAAGACGAAAGAGTAATTTTTTCTTTATTAGGGAAATAATGAACTTCATCAAATAACATTTTCTTGTTTCCAGACAGTAACTCAGGGACAAACAATACTGGGAACCTGGCTTAGAGTGAAGCCAGCATTCTTCACAGTTCTTCATCTGACAGCCAACAAGAGATACAGATCAAATATTGCTCCTGACTTCAGATTTAGACTGAGACTTACTGCCTCAATTTCATAAAAACCTATGTGATATTTTCCTAAAAGCAGAATTGCATCACCTTCTCTAAGTATAAAACTTTATGTGAAAGTTATTCTTGCTTCCAGAAAGAAGTGTAAACTTTAGTGATTCGCTGAGGGAAATAAGAACAGATATTAAGAGCTTACCTGATGTACAAGTAATTTCAGTAAATTTATTTTAAGAATGTTGTTTAAAGCATGCATTATCAGGTATGACTATTAGTCTATCAAGCTGGTATCCCACCTTTGGAGAGAAAGCAAAACATAACCACATTGTACCCACAAGTGGTATGTATTTGTTCAGGCTATTGTAAATTCTATGAAATGCCTATGCTGTGGCACAAATTGAACTTTATAAGGCTCTAAGGAAATAAAATTGTGCATTTCAGAACAAATGAAAGACGGGCAAGGAACTGTGGATAAGTCTCAAATGCAGTCTTGAGCACCAATGAAAAGTAGAGAGCCAAGACAAAAACAATTTCCAGAGATGTAGCTAAAACACGGAGTTCAGGGCTTTTGAAAAGGCAAAAGAAAGCAAGCAGGAGCTGTGAACTGGCCTGAGCTAGTTGTACCGGATAATTTAAGAAGATATAAGTTAAAACAGTTACCCTGAAGAAAAATCCAAAGCATTTCCTTGCTATAGATGGTCCTTTATAAGGCTGGAAGGATAAATTACCATGACCATCTTTTTATTTATCTGCATTATCTTTCCAATGCAAAAAAAGATCAATATTGTGGAAGAATCATTAATCTTGTATGCATCAAATGGACAACTACTTTCCCATCTGTGAAACTCAT